ATATGTTTAAACATCTGAATACAATATCAATACTGTAAACTGTATGATTAATGCAATGGTAATGATGATGATTATGAACCATAGCAGTAAAATATTTCTCTAATCTCCACATTTCTGCTACATAACTTTGCACTTTTGCTGTAACAAACAAATTTCCCACCTGTGGGACTAATAAAGGTCATCTTATCTTATCTCATCTCATCTCACCTTATCTCATCTTATCTTATCTTATCTCATCTCATCTCATCTCACCTTATCTCATCTTATCTTATCTTATCTTATCTTATCTTATCTTATCTCATCTCATCTCATCTCATCTCATCTCATCTCACCTTATCTCATCTTATCTTATCTTATCTTATCTTATCTTATCTTATCTTATCTTATCTTATATTGTGTGCTGTGACAAAACAAGGGAAACTGTGCCACAATTAGCATGAGAGTCAAAAACTTTGTTTCCAAGAATTCTGGTCATGTTTCAGAGCTACAAATACCATAAAATGTGACACATTAGCATTTGCACCGTAAGCTTCCTAAGAGAAAAACACGAAATGCTACTTTGCTGAAGGGAAAGTGGGAAGTAAAAATCCTCATTAATATTTTGACTAGTGTTTCATTTAATGAGAAATATTATGTGTGAAAAGTACCATAATTATTTACTCCACTATTTTCAGTTAATGTGTGTATTAAAATACATGTGTACAACTCAATTTGACCAAAGGACAGTTAACTTCTCAAAAACATTCTAAAACACTGGAATATCACATATATGGTACTAATAGATGATTTATTTTACATCACATGTATTTGTCTCACAACACAGAATGTTTTGAGAACTTTTTGAGCTTGAGTGATCAGTATCTATCTAAGACGAAGACTCTGTGTGGGTGTTGATGTTGTACTTAGACTCCACATGCAGCTTGGGAAATGGATTGTACCCACGCTGCTCAAGGTCTTTTTCATGGCAGAAGGATGGGCTGAATGGTTGCGATACACAAGGCCATGTGGCCTCATAAAAGATTTATCAGAGAAAGAGCCACAATGGAGATACATTGGAGATAGGAAATAGGGAGAGAACAGTGAAGTATCTGCTCCAAAGGTTGATTCTGTTCATATGGGAGAAAGATTTTGTCACTCATCCAAGTGACTTCCTCAGTCTCAGCTGACTGCAGGTTTCCCCAATCTTATAAACAGTATATTGCACCACTGAAGGAACAATGGGCTGGGAGATCAGTTCCTTCATCATAATTATGCAAATTCTCATGACCATTGATCAACAACCACTGATCAATGGTCATGAGTACCATTCACAGAGAGTTGGGGAATGGCTGAAATCACAGCATTGTAAGATGGTGACAGATGTACCCTTAGGCCCCCTCCTCGATTCAGAGATGGTCTTTCCCTTTTCACGTGAATGGCCTCCTTGACTCGGCGCTCCTCCCTGTCCAGGATGTTACATCCTCATCATTGAAAGAGTGTCCACTGGCCTGTAGGTGTAAATAGACTGCAGAGTCCTGGCCTGACGAGGTAGCTCTTCTGTTTTGTGCCATCCGCTTCTCCAGAGGTTGTTTTATTTCTCTGATATATAAATCCTGGCAATCCTCCTGGCACTTAACAGCGCACACTATGCTCCTTTGTTTGTGTCAGCAGACCTGATCCTTGGGGTGGACCGATTTTTGGCACAGCGTGTTTTGGGTTTTAAAAGCCACAGAGACACGTATTTATTTACCTGGATGATTGAGAATGCATCAGGATGTAAAGTATCGGATTTTCTGAACATCTGTCAGGGCAAGGAAATCACAGATTGGGCAACCTCGGTAGAAGCCGTGGAGCTGCTGATGTTGCTGGTCCGTATATAGATTTTGTTCAAGTATGTTTGGTACAGCTTATTGGCCCAAGAGTTCTTTTTGTTTATTTTCTCAACACATTATTGAAATTGTATTTCAGTAAATTATTTTCATGATTAAATTAGCATTTTTTTTTATTCAGTTTAGAGAATACAGGACTGCTGTCTAATCTCACATATGCCAGAAGTGGTTATAAAATGATTTCAATCTTCCATTAAGTTAAGCCCCTTATCTACAAGTAGAACACTGCACTGTGCTTCATCATAAATACTTATGAATAAGATAAAAAAATAAATAAACTTCATGGCAATGGAAATACAAGTGTTTTCTAATAGTTTTCCCTAAATCTATGGAGGGGCAAACAAAACTTAAAAGAAAGAAACAAATGAATAAACAAAGAAGCAAAGAAATATGAAAAGAATCAGAGTGATTATGCATGTAAAAGTGGAAAAGCCCTCGCACAGAATTCTAAAGAACTTCACACATTTTTGGTGTCAAAGACTTGTTGCCTACAACAAGTAAGGACTATGCATATTCATGTATTCATGTTTTGAAAAGCAAATTGTTTTTAAGATAAAAGATCCCAGTTGTAGGATTGACTATGCAAATTACAGCTAAAGGAAAGAAGTCTTCCCCAGATCGCTCTCTGATTATCAGATTCTTATCCAGGTCGTCACACTTTCAGATCTTTAACAGGCCTTAAAGTGTGGCGACACGATAAAGTCCCAGCTGTGAGTGTGGAGTCTTTTTGAAATTTAACAGTCAGAGCATCTGTGTAGACAGTGAGGTGTGTTCGCAAGATAGTTTCATCACTGGGACCTGAGTAAACCCTAGGTTTTTGCATCTTTTTAAAATGCTACTTTTATCCATTGTGATTGGTTGATAGAGTTTATTAAAAAAATTGTGTGTAAAAATGTTGTGTCTTTCAATAATGACATATAAAGTATCTTAATCTTAATCTTAGAGGGAATGGCTGTAAGCTGGTCATGTGAGACATGGTTTACCCAACATTTTAGAGATCTTGATCATTTTGTTTAAAGGTGCAAGTTGCAGTGCAGTTTAAACATTTGGATCCCATTGCAGGATTTGACTTAACCAATAGCTTGAGTTAAATTCCAGGTCACGTTGTTAATTGTCTAGACCAGGGGTGGGCAATCTCAGTCCACGAGGGCCGGTGTCCCTGCAGGTTTTAGATGTGTCCTCGAACCAACACAGCTGATTTAAATGGCTAAATTAGCTCCTCAACATGTCCTGAAGTTCTCCAGAGGCCTGGTAACGAACTAATCTTGTGATTCAGGTGTGTTGATCCAAGGTGAGATCTAAAACCTGCAGGGACACCGGCCCTCGTGGACTGAGATTGCCCACCCCTGGTCTAGACTAAACCTACAGTTGTAGTTGGAAGTTTACATACATTCATTGGGGGTCTTTCAACTTTCTTTTTCCAGGGTGGTATGATTTTACACCATATATCTGTAACGTATTTAAAAACAAGAATTAGGTGCACAGGTTTGAACTTATTTTGGATTTTCCCTAATCCAGCAGTCCCCAACCCATGGGGACCACTTTATCATTTTTTATCGTTATTTTGTAATTGTTTTTATCGTTAACTTGGTTTCCCTGGGTCTTTTCCCATGTGGTATGAATACATCTCTTTTTTTGGTACCAATACTGGTTTTATTTGTATTGTTTTGTATTAGTGCGCGACACCTTAAAGGCCAGTCCGTGAAAATATGGTCGGACATAGACCAGCCTGTGGCGCAACTTTACTTATTTGCCATTGTAAAAATGTCTTTTAGTGACTCTATCAACTAATGGAAAGGGATAAAAGTGGCCTTTTAACAAGACACAAAAATAGTAACAATAGTAACAAATAGTAACAAAAAGAACTATAAAAACTAGCAATTAAAAAAACTACATACAAACAAAAGGAAGAAATACCGTACAAAGAACGGGAATATATGCAAACATTGGCTTGTTGCTATCTATCAGCAATACAGAACCACAAATGATTTTTCAACTCATATTACTGGTCATATTATTTTACAAGCAGAAATATAATACTTCTTTCACTGGAAGAGGTTTGAGTTCCAGGTAATGCAAATATATACGCAAACATCCTCATGCAAAGACATGCATGGGCGAACAAGCACAAAACTGTCCTCGGTGAGTAAAAGGAACACTGCTGAAGAATATACAGCAATGCATATTAACTTATCTATCTTGGCTGACATTTTAACTTCCTCATAATAAATTTTTAGGGCCTGGCTTCAGCTCACTAAATCACCTGTCAAGTCGCAAATTTTGACACAACGCTGTGGTGGTCCAGCTTTTCAGATCCAATTAATATCAAATCACTCATAAAGATCTTTTGGAAAAGAGTAGAAATCTTAGAACAGAGTTTATTAAATATTGTCATATGAACAGCAGAACAGTACATTTTACAGCAAAAATAACACATAGAAAGCAAGCAAAGCAAACTAAAGCGAAGCAACCCTGGGGTGTATAGCCTTAAAGCACATCTGGCAAAGACATACAAAAGGACAGACAGGAAAAAGGTAGCAGTCTGACCTTCCTCTTATATAGGATCAGCGTTGGGTACCCTTTCATCCTTTGTTCTTTCTTTTCATCTTCAGCTTATGATACATAACTTTCTGACCCTACCCCATTATTTCTCGAGAACCGGTCTTACAGCAGGGTTATTTTTTTCACATGTTCGCTAAGAATAGAAATTATGATTATGCGAGCATTACCAAATTATGTACAAAATGTAGAATTGTCCATATGTTACATCAATATGCTGTTATGATCTCAAATACAAGAACACAAATAAAGAGAACAACTCACCATTTATGACAGGGGCATAAACTATAATCCCTGCCAAGTTTGGATCTAATACAGTCTTGTCCAGAATAACTCCTCCAATACTAGAAGAAAGACAATCAAAATAATACCAGTAAGAGGTATGTGAGGGTATTCATAATATTTTTCTATTATCTTTTTATAACATAAAGCAAACGAGTTAATGGTATCAAATGATCAAATTGTTATTATATAAATTATACAAATTTGTTTGCTTTATTTAAAAGTTCACACTAGAGAACACCATCAGGAAATCTGAACATGTGAAAGCAGCAGAGTTTACCTGCTGATGAGCATTGCTATAATGATGGGTTCCCAGCCTGTGTGCAGCAAGATTTCACTGGCTGGATGTTTGGATGAGGCAGCCACCCAGGCAGGAATCAGGCATAAAAACGATAGATTTACCAGATACAACACATATGGATAAAGTTCTGTCAAAAAGAAAAAAAGAGATTATTTTGCCTTTTATTTTCTATCAGGATTTAGTTGAAAAAGTAAAGGCTGTGATCTTTGTGGACTTGGGTGAACTGGTGTCATCTGTTGGCCAACAGTAAAAAATACATGACTTCTAGCACTTGCACCAAATATACAGCATTACTCTTCACTGTTTGTACATTCAAACCAGACCATGTTATGGCCCTTATCTCTCACCTATAAAGGAGTAGAACCACTGACTGAAGCATGCCAACAAGGCAAGAGTGATGAGATCTCCAAAGCTGGCTGCTGTCGGTGTGGCCACATTGTCAGGGTTGATTCCTATCCGCTTGGAGCCAATGATCACTCCCACCATAACGATACCTTGAAGAAGTTAAAGACAAGCTAAAAGTGTTCAGTGTTCATTCTGCT